ACTAAACAACCAATGGGTCCAAGAAAAAATCAAAAGAGAAATCAAAAAATACCTTGAGACGAATGAAAACGGAACTACAACATATCAAAACCTATAGGATGCAGCAAAAGCAGTTTTAAGAGGGACGTTTATAGTGATAAAGGCCTACATTAGGAAATGAGAGAGATTTCAAATAAACAACTTAACTTTACACCTCAAGGAACCAGAAAAAGGAAAAACTAAGCCCAAAGTTAGAAGGAAGGAAATAACAAAGATCACAGCAGAAATAACTGAAATAGAGACTAGAAAGACAATAGAAAAGATCAACGAAACTAACAGCTGGGTTTTCTTGAAAAGATAACAATGACAAAGACTCCCCAAGAAAAAAAGAGAGAGGACTCCAATATAAAATCAGAAATGAAAGAGGAGACAGTGCGACTGATACCACAAAAATACAAAGTATCCTAAGAGACTACTAGGAACAATTATACTCTAGCAAATTGGACAAACCAGAAGAAATGGATAAATTCCTAGAAACACACCTACCTACCAAACAAACCTACCAAGACTGAAATCATGAAGAAATGGAAAATCTGAACAGACTAATTACTAATAAGGAGATTGAATTAAGGATCAAAAACTTGCCAATAGACAAAAATTCAGGACAAGATGGCTTCATTGATGAATTCTACCAAACATTCAAACAAGAGTTAACACCAATCCTTCTTAAGAGTTTCCAAAAAAGAAGAGGAGGGAACACTTCCAAACTCATTTTACAAGACCAGTACTACCCTAACACCAAAATCAGACAAGGACACTACAAGAAAAGAAAACTACAGGCCAGTATCCCTTATGAATATAGATGCAAAAACTCTCAACAGAATATCAGCAAACAATACATTAAAAGGATCATACACCATGATCAAGTGGGATTTATTCCAGGGATGCAGGGATGGTTCAGCATCCGCAAATCAATCAATGTGATACACCAGTAACAAAATGAAAACTAAAAATCACATGATCATTTCAATAGATGCAGAAAAAGCACCTGACAACATTCAATATCCATTCATGATAAAAACTCTCAACAAAGTGGGTATAGAGAGAATGGGCCTCAATGTAATAGAGGCCACATATGACAAGCCCACAGCTAACATCATACTCAATGGTGAGAAAGCTTTTCCTCTAGGATTAGGAACAAGACAAGTATGCCCACTCTCACTACTTTTATTCAACACAGTAGTGGAAGTCCTAGCCAGGGCAATTGGGCAAGAAAAAGAAACAGAAGGCATCCAAACAGGAAAGGAAGAAGTAAAACCCTATTTGCAGATGACAAGATATTATACAGAGAAAACCCTAGACTCCACCAAAAGACTCTTAGGATAAACAGATTCAGCAAAGCTGAAGAATACAAAAATCAAGATAGAGAAATCTGTTGTGTTTCTACAGATGAATAACAAACTATCAGAAAGAGAAATTAAGAAAATCCCATTTACAATTCTATCAAAAAGAATAAAATATTTAGAAATAAATTAACCAAGGAAGTGAAAAACCTCTGTGTTGAAAAGTATACGACATTGATGAAAGAAACTGAAGATGATACAAATAAATGGAAAGATATTCCATGCTCATGGATTGGAAGAATTAGTATTGTGAAAATGTCTATACTGCCCAAAGCAATCTACAGATTTAATGCAATCTCTATCAAAATTTCAATGGTATTTTTCATAGAAATACAACAAACAGTCCCTAAATTTCTATGGAACCACAAAAGACTCTGAAAAGCCAAAGCAACCTTGAGAACAAAGCCAGAGGCATCATATTTCCTGATTTCAAAATATATTAACAAGCTATAGTAATCAAAACAACATGGCACTGGCATAAAAAGACACATAGATCAACGGGACAGAATAGAGAGCCCAGAAATAAACCCATGTATATATAGTCAATTTACCACTAAGGAACAAGGAATATACAATGGGGAAAAGATAGTCTCCTCAATAAATGGTGTTGGGAAAACCGGAGAGCCACATGCAAAAGAATGAAACTGGACCCTTATTTCACACCATACACAAAAACTCAACTCATAATGGACTAAAGCCTCGAGCATAAGACCTGAAACCATCAAACTCCTACAAGAAAATTTAAGCATTAAGCTCCCTGACATAGGTCTTGGCATGATTTCTTGGATTTGACACCAAAAGGAAAAGTAAAAATAAACAAGTAGGACTACATCAAATAAAAAGCTTCTGCACTGCAAAGGAAACTATCAATAAAATGAAAAGGCAACCTACAGAACAGGAGAAAATATTTTCAAATCACATATCTGATAAGTAAGTGATTAACATCCAAAATATACAAAGACCTCATTCAACTCAATAGAAAAAACCCCAAACAATCAGATTAAACATTGGGCAGAGGATCTGAATAGACCTTTTTTTAAAGACATGCAAATGGCCAACAGGTATATGAGAAAGTGCTCAACATCACTTATCAGGGAAATGCAAATCAAAATCACAATGGGATATCACCTCACACCTGTTAAAATGGCTATTATCAAAAAGACAAGACAAAATGAGTGTTGCTGAGGATGCACAGGAAAAAGAATCCTTGTACACTGCTGGTGGGAATGTTCACTGGTGCAACCACTATGGAAAACAGAATGGAGGTTCCTCAAAAAATTAATAGAACTACATGATCTAGCAATTCCACTTATGGGTATTTTTCTGAAGAAAATGAAATCACTATCTCAAAAAGAGCTGTACTCCCACGTTCACTGCAGCATTATTCACAGCAGCCGAGACACGGAAACAAGCTAAGTGTCCATCAACAGATGACTGGATAAAGAAGATGCAGTCTATACATACAATGGAATATTATGCAGCCATAAGAAAGGAAATCTTGCTATTTGTGACAACATGGATGGACTTTGAGGGCATTATGCCAAGTGAAATAAGTCAGACATAGGCAGACAAAGACTGCATGATCTCACTTATATGTAGAATCTAAAAAAAAAACAACAACAACCGAACTCAGACACACAGAACAGACTTCTGGTCGCCAGAGGTGGGGGTGGGGTGTAAAATGAGTGAAGACGGTCAAAAGGTACAAACTTCCAGTTATAAGGTAAATAAGTCCTGGGAATCTAACGTACAGCTTGGTGACTACAGTTAACAATACTGTATTGTATACTTGAAAGTTGCTAAGAGAGTAAATCTTAAAAGTTCTTATCAAAAGAAAAAAATTTTAAACTATGCGTAGTGATGGATGACAACTAAACGTGATCATTTTGTAATATATACATATATCAAATCATTATGCTGTACACTAAAACTAATACAATGTTATGTCAATTACATCTCAATTTAAAAAAAGACCCTCTGAAATCTGAGGATGCTGCTGACAAAATGGGTATTTCTCAAGTCTTCTTCAAAGATAAAGGTGTAGCTTCAGGAAGAAAGGACAGTGAGCAACTTCTTTTGTAAGCTGTCTGACCTGAAGTAACGGTGATTTGGGGGAACTGGTAAAATTACATTCAAAAGCAAGACTGTCAGTGTTCATCAGGTTGAGTCAGGATAAGGAAAAAGGTATCTGGAATCCAGGCCACCTGGCCAATTACGCATGCAGAAATATCTCTGACACAAAGACAGCAAATTAGGCTTTGTAAGTAAGGGTAAATACAAATCTTTAAAAAAAAAAAAAAGATTTTCCCTTGCGCCAAAAGAAACCCTCCCCCCACTCCCTTTGCTCAGAGCATTTCCTTGAGCAAACGCATAACTGTACATCCTTTGTCTGTGTCTTTGATAAAAATGGACATCTTTTTCAAAGCTAAGTAAGCCTCTTGCCAGTTTACAACCCAAGGAAGTCTTTCTCAGGGGTTTTGGGGTCATCGGTTTGAAATGTAAACATCAAGGAAGATGGAGCCCGGATCTCCTTGTCTCTGGTTGAATTTAGGCCTCCATGCTGTAACCACCTGCTTATCATAAAGAGGCTGAGCAGTCTTATTTTCCCTCTGGATAAACGCAATGAGCTAACACAAATCGCCAGCCCAATTACCAGTGCATTTAGGATGACCACGTGAAGCAAATGTTGCTGGCAGGTCCTCTTAAGGTCAAGTTAATCTTATTTATCCTGAGAACCTGTACGTAATACGAAATAGGTTACATCTGCCTGGGTGCAAAAACGGCAGAGAATTCTGTCTTTGCAAGCCCATTGGGACACTGCCTCTGACGGGCGCAGCAATCCCGTTTAAGGCTTATTCAATAATAAGGCTGTATGGTTCTTTTCTACATTTGTAGAGAGGAGGTTCTCGGTTGGCATATTTTATTTTTAATTATTTCCCTAACAGCTTCCACTACATGAAATATTCCTCCAGAACATTCAGCAGATTGCTAAAATACTGAATGCACCAGTCAAGTTTGGACAGAACCGAATCACGCACTTGTCCACCAGGAGGATGCCTCCAGGCAAACAACCGTTCCAATGTGATGCAGACATTTATATCCGTATTTCCAGCATCTCTCTGCAACTTTTCCTACATATGGACCTCCGCGATTTCAAGGGACCTCCCCTCTCAGAGGCTGGGCCCACTCCCCGCAGAATGCCCCCCGGCGTCCCTTCTCCCAGGGTAACTGCGCAGAATTGCACCCTCTGCTCCAGGCCCTGCAACACTCGGGGTGCAGCCCTTTGGTAACACAAAGGCCGGGAGCAAGCCGTAACGGGAGAGGGCATCCGCATGCTTTGGAGAAACCTCCTCCGCTGTGACGCCGGACTCAGGCAGTAAAGTGTGGGCAATTTGCATCCCGGGACTTTGAACAAAGGAGTGGAGGCAGGGAAGCGGCTCCGAACCCTGCACCCACCCCAGCTAGCGCACGACTCGCACGACCCGCCCTCCGCCCCGGGCCTTCCTCCCGGGCTCCGCTCCCTTGCACTCGGCGCACGGGGAAGTCCCGAGGGCCCCCGGCGTCTGCAACCCCGCCCCGGGATCGCCCCCGCCCGCCCGCGGGGACCGCACGCCTCACCTGCGGACCGCGAGGGGCGCAGCCGCTGCCTGCGGCCGCCCCGGCCGCGCGCGAGCCGGTAGACGCAGTAGCAGGCGCCCGCCCCGAGCGCCAGGCCCGCCGCCACCCAGCCCGCCACCCGGGCGCCACCCATGCTGCCGGGGCCGCGGCGAGCGCGGGACAGGCACGGCGGCTCGCGGGGCGGCCCGGCCGCGGAGAGAGGAAGCGGGCCGAGCTCCGCCCCGGAAGCGGCGCCGCGACGACACAGGCCGCCGCTCCGCCCGCCGCGCGCCGGCCGCTGCCCCGGGGCGGAGCACGGGGAGGAGATGCGCCGGCTGCGCGCCCCGAGCGCACGCGCCGAGGGCGGCCGCTTCCGCCCGGCCCGGCCCGCCGGGGCGAACGCCGGCCTCGCTGCGCCCCGCCCCTCGCCATTGCCCCGCCCCTCGCCCCGCCCACCGTCGCCGGGGCAACGCCAGGACGCGCTGGTCCCTAGGCGGACGCGGCTCCTGCGGCGCCGCGCGTGGAGAGCCGGCGGGGAGCGCAGCTTCGCGCGCTTCTAGCCATGGCCTCGTTACGCACTGCCAGCCCCACGCTGAGGAGCTACTTCAAGGAGAACTACATTCCTCAGGTCTTCGAGGTACTGGAGTCACGCGGCGGCCGAGTTAGAAGGGGGAGGAGTCGGAGGAGATTTCCCAGAGGAAGGGCTAGGGTTTGGCGCGGAGAGGGAGTGGAGGGAAAGCGGAGCCGAGTGGGAGAGAATGAAGTCATCTTCGGACAGGTCGGCGGTCTGGGCTGAGGATGCAGATCAGAGAGAAGACAGAAGGGGGATGGTGGCTGAGAGGGAGGAGCGGGTGACATCTCCCCAGGAAGAAAGAGCGCAGGACCCCGGCTCAGAAACCCCAACCTTCGACTTTTAAGGTTTGGACAAGAGGAGAAGTGAGAAAGAAGTGCCCTAGAGACAGAAGAGGGAAGTCAGGAGAGTGTGGGTTTATGAAGAGAGTGGGCAATAGCGTCACCCAAGATGAGAAGCTGAAGGGGTGCAGTAGATTTGGCCCAAGGTGAGCGTAGGGTTCCAAGGGAGCGATGAAGGCAGAAGATAAAGGTCAGCTGAGGCTTTCATACGGAAGGTAGCCGGCCTTTTGTGAAAGGAAGGACCCCACAACCAGGATTGCCTTAAACAGGAGGAAGGGCTGTGTGTCCCCCCCGCCCCCGTTATAACAGGAGGGAAAGAGGACAGGATAGGGGTGGGTAGGTTTTGTAGATGTGGGAAAAGGAAGCCAAGAAAGTTCTCCTCTGGTGACTTCTGTTTTCTCTACAAATATTTGGTGAGATATTTGCCAAGAATGTGTATGTTTGGGTGGGGATGGAGGGTGCAGAAGGGTTTTGAGCAGAGATAAATTATGTGGAGAATGAGGAAGAGAGAAGCCTAGGAAAGGAAAGAGAAGGAGAGCCAGCAGTGTGAGAGCCCAGCTAGGGTAGTGACCCTCCTGTGCAACTGAGAGGGCAATTTGGTACAGGCCGCCTCCTTCTGGATGGTAATTTAGAAGTATGTGTTTACTAAAATGTTAAATACGTATACCCGTTGACTAAGCATTTCCACTTCCAGGAATCCACTTTAGAGACATACTTGCGCATGTCCTCAGAAGGATGTACAAGGATACTCATTATAATACTGCTACATAGTGAAAATAGTAAATAACCTAAACGTGAATAAGGGAATGGGATTTTATGTAGAATAAAGTATATCTGTACCTTTTGAGAAGAAAAGCTTGCCAAGACATATTAAATTTAAAAAAAGAACAAAAAAAAGAAAAAATGCAAATTGCCCAACAAAGTGTCTACTGCAGTCTAGTTACCTATCTGATTTCATATATGTATGTATATGTGTGTGTTTATATATATATGTATGCGTATGTGTGTATATCTATCTATATTTTGTATTTCTAAGACAATAATAGATGCATAGAAATATGCCAAACTATTAATTGCAAATGTTTTGGGGGATGGTTTTGGGGGAGAACTCTGATTTTTTACTATCTACACATCTATATGGTTTTAACTTTTTATGATGAGTTTCATTCATGTTTTACCTCTATACAGTTATACTTGGAAATATGTAGAGAGCATGGTACTCATCTTCCCACTTGTGTGATGTTTCTCAAGTAGCACTCAGTAAACCAGATGTAGCTACAGAAATGAGAGTCGACTTCATCCAGGGTTGGAGTTTGCCAGGCAAATGGGAGGAAGGGCAGTGGTGAGGGAGCGAAGCTTTTGAGAGCGTCTGAAGTGATGGGCCGAGGACTCTAAGGACTGGGTGGGGAATGAGAACAAGGTGTGATACTGATATGTGGGTAGAAACTGGAGCTCCCTAAGGGGTGAGTGGAGAGCGTCAGAGGGAGCAATGGAATGAGGGAGCTGGAAAAGTAGGAGGTAGGGGTCAGAAAGTGGGATGTTGTATTAAGACTCAGGATAAAGCCATTCTGAGTGATGACGCAGTCCAGGTTGGCCATGGAGCAGGAGCAGAAGTGGACCTGAGTTGAGGGTCAGGGAACATCGGGGGATGTGATAGCCTCTCCTCACCTTTCTCTCCACTTGCCGTCACTCTACCAAGCTGGAGAACGCATGCCTGGTTCCTCCGGGTGACAGCACTCCTTCCTCACCAGCCTGCCACATTCTTTCTGCCCCCAGAGAAAAGGGGTCCCTAGAAGTGCTCCCCATTGCCTAAGATGATACTCTCCTGAGGAGTCCTTCCCTTCCTTCTGCTACCACGTTACCAGCAGGTGCAAGAGAGTGGTCTTCTGGGCCCCACACACCCACCTTCACCTGGTTACCCGCTCCTCTAAGAGACCATGAGGATGAGTCCCATTGTGTCTCATATCCCTGAACAGCTCTTCATCTGACCCCATTTGCCAGGCCTAGCTCCCCTCTGAAACTCATCTTCTGCAAGCTTTGGAATGCCTAATGTTTCATCACAGATTTCTCTGTATACTTAACCTCTTCTGTACTGGACCTACCTGTCCTAAATAAAACCTGGCTGTCTCCTCAGAATATCATTTCCCTGCAAACCTCTGGAATAGAGGCTGATTTAAAAAAAAAAATCCTGCTTGATTCATTGGGCTTACTGAATCTGTTGATTGATATTTTTCGTCAGTTTTAGAAAATTCTTGGTCATTTTCATGTACTATTTCTATGCAATTGTCTCTCTTTTCCTCCTGGGACTTCAATCACAAATGTGTTAGGTTTGTTTTTGTTTTTGTTTTTTGGTGAGGAAGATTAGCCCTGAGCTAACATGTGTGCCCATCTTCCTCTATTTTGTGTATGGGACACTGCCACAGCATGGCTTGATGAGCAGTGTGTAGGTCTGCACCTGGGATCCGAGCCTGTGAACCCCAGGCTGCGGAAGTGGAGCACATGAGCTTTTTTTTTTTTTTTTTGATTGTGTCTTACATGCCTCTTTTGCTTTGTTCTATTTTTTTCTCCATTCTCTTTCCCTCTGAGCTCAAGTTTGGATATTTTTCGTTGATTGTCTTCAAAAGTGTACTGATTCTATTTTGTGCTATATCCAGTCTACAGTTAAATACAGTGAATGAGTTCTTTCAGACAGTATATTTTTCAGTTCTAGAATGTTCATTTGATTCTTTTTTTATACATTCCGATGAACATTCTGCATCTTTTCATTTTGTCTCATTTCCTGTTTTCTTTAACATGTTAATTGTTATTTTAAAATCATTTTCTGTTAATGGGAATAACTTTGAATTAAATCCTTTATTAGAATTTAGTTATTAGAATAGAATAAGTGTTCTTTATGCAAAGTACTGGTGTGATTTCTGTGTCCTGACTGGACCCTGACTGATATGGAAGGCTTAACTGGAAAGGGACACAAGACAACTCCTGGGGAGTTGGAAAATGACTGGAGTGTGGGTGTATCCATTGCCAAAATTATACAGCTAAGATTTGTGCATTTGAATTCAAGTAAGTTTTACTTAAAAATAATTATAATTGAGAACAGGTGGGAAAATGGGCGGGCATGTAGGTAATATAAGAATCACAGAATAGCGATAGTGGTTGGAACTGGGCGATGGGTACAGAGGAGTTCGTTATACTGTTGTTTGCTTTATATGTGTTTGAAGTTTTCATAATAAAAAGTTAAAAGATAGTCATGGCTGGGTTGTCATTGAGTCATTTTTCTCATAATGTATGTAGCTAGGGAATGGATGGAATGATAGGCTTGATTTGGCTGAATAGTCATTTTCTTTGTTTGTTTGCTGTATCAATTATCCATTACTACATAATGCAACTGCAAAACCTAGTGGCTTAAGACAACAGGAATCATTTAGTTTGCTCAAAAATCTGAAATTCTGGCAGGGTTTTTCAGGGAGAGCTTGTCTCTGCTCCATATGGTACCATCTGGAATGGATCAATGGGATTCAAGATCCACTTGGTTCACCTACCTGCCTGGCTAGTTGGTGCTGGGTGTTGGCTGGGAGTTCAGCCAGGTCTGTGAGCCGGGGCTTGGTTCCTCCATATGGGCCTCTCCATGGGCTGCTTGGACTTCCTCAGAGTATGTGCTCAGTTCTGAGCAAGTGTCCCCGGAGAGAACCAGCTGGAAGTTATCTCACCATTTATGACATAGGCTCGGATGTCAGCATAACATTATTTTCACCTAGATTGCAAGGAGGGAACATAGACCCCACTTCTTGATGGGAGGCCTGTCAAAGTCACATTGCAAAAAGAGCCTGTGGGATGGGAGATGTTGTTGTAGCCATTTTGGAAAATACAATCAGCCACACCTGGCTTGTTCATACAAGGGGAATCTGGGATCAAGTTGGATCTCAAAGCATTATCTGAACAAATAAAATGTGGATCATAACAGCATCACCCAGTAAGTGGGTTTCAACACTTCTATAATTATCCATTCTTTTCTTCTTCCTTTTCTATGTTCCCAGGAGCAGGTGTATACTGGACATTAACAAGTTGCCTACACATCTCCCTCCCTCTTTCCTCTTCCTAATATTTCTTTTTTTTTATTGAGTTATTGATAGGTTACAATCTTGTGAAATTTCAGTTGTACACTAATGTTTGTCAGTCATGTTGTAGGTGCACCACTTCACCCTTTGTGCCCACCCCCCACCCCACTTTCCCTGGTATCCACTAAACTGTCTAGTCCACATTTTAAATCCTCATATGAGTGGAGTCATACACAGATTATCCTCTCTCGCTGGCTTATTTCACTTAACATAATTCTCTCAAGGTCCATCCATGGTATTGCAAATGGAATGATTTTGTTCTGTTTTGCAGCAGAGTAGTATCCCATTGTATATATGTACCACATCTTCTTTATCCATTCTTCTGTTGCTGGACACTTAGGTTGCTTCCACGTCTTGGCTATTGTAAATAATGCTGCAATAAACATTGGGGTGCACAGGACTTTTAGGATTGCTGACTTCAAGCTCTTTGGAGAAATACCCAGTAGTGGGATGGCTGGATCTTATGGTAGTTCTATTTTTAATTTTTTGAGGAATCTCCATACTGTTTTCCATAGTGGCTGCACCAGTTTGCATTCCCACCAGCAGTGTATGAGGATTCCTTTTTCTCCGCAACCTCTCCAACATTTGTTGCTATTAGTTTTAGATATTT